ATACAAACTGGGAAGGAGGTGCTGATTTAGGTGAATAGTCAAGGAAGAATACGTCAATGACCTCTAAGTCCAGGTCATTGATTACTGGAGTGAGTCATTATTTCACAAACAAAATTGCAAATCCCAAGGGAGAAAGGAGAGAAAGGTGAAAGACAGGATAGAAGGGAGGGAGAAAGGAGAAAGGGGACAATTAAAAAGAGGAGCTGAGCATTGTATGCTAATGTGGGTTTTGTAAAGCCAAGGGGCTCTGATAATGCTAAACAAGCTGTTTGTTCTGGGAAGGGAGAGGACATTTCAATGTATATAAGAATTTTCCAGAAAACCCAGCCAGACCCTCCAACACCCTGGAAATCAGACACTGAGATCACTGAAGCTTAAGGAGTGTCAGTGCTTAGTTAAGCAAAGAGGCACCCTGGAAACGCTGCCTTAAACCCAAGGATCCAACCGATGGAACGCGTGTTCTAGACATAAACTTGAGAGGAGAGAAAATCCCACACTTCAACAACAACGACAACAACAAAAAAGGTGGCAGATCTGGAAAACTGTCAAGAACTGTTTTCTGTTTGTACACCCTTTCCTCTTGGGCCTTGTGTGTTCTCCCCTCAGCATCTTTGGTCTGCACCTGGCACTCTCAGAAGAGGGTGTGTGAGTTGCTCACTCATGCTGAAGTGTTTCATGAATTTGTGCGTTGGCCTGCCAGAAATATTTGCACCTTAAATTAGGACAGATGGAAGGCTCATCGGTGGGATTTTACCCCATCCACAGAGGAGAGAGTTGAGACCTTTGGAAACCCTCCAAGTCCCTTAGGGTAAGAGAATTTACATTGCTTAAAGTTGCCCCCTGAAAAGCACTGTCCCTTCCTATCCAGGTCACACACAGTATTCCTGCCTCCCTCTCATTTCCCAATTTTAACCTTTGGAATTTCCAGAACAATCCTATCAGGAAGGAGAAGAGGGGTGTCATGCTGTCTGGAACCAGGGACAAGGTAGCATACCCCTATTCTGGACTGCTGGCCACCTTAGTCCTGGGCTCTGGGCCAAGATCCCCAAGGACTGCAGTACTCACGAGAACCCGGCAAGACCCTGAGGAATGAAGATCACACAGTAAACACGGGGACAAAGCAGACAGACCCTGCTCTCGTTTTTAGGCCTCTTTTCTTCCCAGGAATGTGTGTTTCAGAGACAAAGTCAAGTGCTTTATCTGCTGTCACTTGAAGTCATGGAAAAGGCCTGGATTTGGACTCAGAAGGCCTAGGCTTGCATTCTAGCTCTCTATGAGCCCCTATAGCTTCCTCTGCTCAGACATAAGGATTCCTCCCTGATGTGTTTCGCAGGGTCTGGTGAGAACCAAATGAGATGGTGTTCGCATGTGGCCCCTGACCCTCAGGGGCTGTGCTGGTCATTATTCTAGGGTGGGCTTCCACAGCAGTGTAAGCAGCTCCTCTGTAAGACATGGGGCAAGCGGCTGGAGGCTGGGCGGCTGGAGAGCACGGCCACATTCTATGTGTCATCAGACTGGTCTTGAGCCTCTCACCCTCTTGCAGAGAACAGAACCTGCTTGCAGAGTTTGTGTGTGTGTTAAATTAGATTAACGTGGTGTGGCCACTTTGCACAGGCAAAATGCACCTTCAAATTGCGCTTGCCATCTGTGTCCCAAATTGCATTCTATCTTGAGCACTCCAGAATATACTCATGGTCTATACATGTTGACTCCATAGAAAACAGCAGCCTCCAAATGCTTATGGTGTGCACTTATTTGCTTTTTAAAGTTGAGTCAAGAACTTGAGGCCCAGCAAACTTGCTTTTTCCACATAGGCTGGCCCAGCCGGAGGGGACCTCAGCCTCCCTGTCCCAGCTCTTCAAGGAAGAGTGCCAGGAGAATGGCACTCTGCCGTGCTCACCAGTTCCCAAACTGGGCTTTCAGTCAAAGCCCACAGAAAGCTGTACCAGTAATAGCTGCCATTTCCTGCGTGCCTACTACGTGCCAGGCACCATGCTAAGCACCTCAATCGTTTCATTTCAGCCTTCACCGCAAGCCCCTGGGAAGCTGCCTTGTGGTACCTGTTTAACAGACAGGGAAGCCAGGTCTTGGAAAAGTAAAGCAATTTGCCTGAGCAAACCACAGCCAAGCCTACCCTACCCCAGAGTGCACTGCGTCCTCTCTTAACCAGCTTCCCTGGGGGGCTGTACACCAACTGCACCTCTAACACACACACACTCGCACCTGCGCGTGCACCAGGCATGCACGCTGTCTCCCTGTGCGCTGACCTCCACTACGAACAAACAGAATCAGAGAAGGACAGAAGGACAGGGCACGTGGGGAAGGCACAGAGTGTATTTCTAAGACTTCCCTTAAGAGCTGACGCAATGCGGTGGGGTTTAGGAGAATGGAGATGAAGATGGGCCTCACATTTTCTATCTGTTCTCAGACTGGACCTTCTGACTGACTGCCATTCCCATTAGCCCGTCACATATCTAGGGAGCGCCTACTAAGAGTGGTCCTTGCTGGGGCCGTCAGGGGCTGGAGAAGATTCAAAGAAGGAAAAGTCGTGCCCCACGCACCCAGAGCTCTCCACCTACCAAAAGGATAAAGCAGGTCCCCAAAATCCCCAGCCCAAAGCATGGTGGGATGAAAGTGTCCCCCAGTCCTTGCGCCCACCTCGATATTTCAGCCCTGAGGGTGGCCACCGGGGTTGAGACCCAGCGCACCTACTCAGGAAAGAGAGAAAGACCAGGAATCGCAGCAAGGAACCCACCCCACCAGGCGCCCTTTGTGGCCCCGATTGAAAGATTGAAAGGAGGAACGGGGTGAATTCTCATGAGAATTCTGATAAATGGGCTTCTCCACCCCTCCTCCTCCCCTGCCCCCAATTAAAGTGAAGCTGTCCCAGGGCGGAGCAGCAGAAACCACTTCCAAGCCAGGCATGACATCAACATTTTAGTGATAAGGAGTGGACAATGGGGTGTTAGACTAATAGAAAAACACCACTGGATAAGGCCGGCTCCTGATACCCAGGCTGATGGGAAATACCATTGTCCGTCCGCTGTCAGCTGAGTCCCAGGGCGACAGGGATCCCAGCAGCCACAGGCAGGGCGGGGGAGGGGTGGTCCTGCCAGGTCCAGCACTGGCTGAGTGCCAGGGAGGGTGGGGACGGGGGCTGAGCCTCCGGGTGCAGCTTGAGAGTGGATGGGATGGGCAGGGTGCAGAGGTGGGAGTGCAGGGTTGGGAAGGAAGGTGTAGGGGGACGGTGGTGTGGGGCTAGGCAGAAATTGCGTATGGCTCTGTCCATGCCACTTGGATGATGCTTGTGTGACCATATTAGTAATGGCTCACAGGTGTACTTGGTTCATTGATTTTTCACAGAAATTTCTTTAAACATTTTTATCAAAGTAATATGTGCACATAGTTTTTGTATTTTAAATCAATTCATATTAAAAGAATATGTAACAGCAACAACTAGAAACTGGTTTCCTGCCTACCACTTCCCAGTTCTCCTCCCAGCGCCTTCTCTGCCCAGCTGTGCTCACCAGAGGTAACCAAACCAGCATCAATTCCCAGCTGCTGCTTCTGGTATTTGCCTGTATATTTCTGAATAATTTGCTTATGTGGCTATGTCATCACTTACCAATTTTAGACATGGTCTCATGGCTTCTTCGAATGGCAAAAGAGAACTTAGCAACGTTACACTGCACTCTCCTTCACAGCTCCTCCCTCATCCTTCCATTATCGTGATGATATTTGAGTAAAATAGTAATTGGTGATTATTCTGAGACAAAACTTTCTGTAAGCCTGTTTCCTACAGCTCGTGTCCTCTACTTTTTTACATTTACTGCTTTGTCTTGCTGGAACACCTTCAGTGCCTTCCTGAGAAAGAGTACATTTTTTATGTGGTAAGGTACTGAATTCTGGGTTGGAAATTATTTTTTCTTAGTGTTTTAAAAGGACTGCTCTGTCGTCTTCTAACTTACCCTGTGTTATTGGGAAATCTGACACCATCCGATTCCGGAAGCTTTGTATGGGACCTGTCTTATTTTTTCATAGGGAGCTCTAAGGAACTTCTCTCTATCCCTGTTGCTGGAAAAATTTTGCGACAATATTACTTACTATGTGTCTTTCCCATTTACTGTCCTGGACAATCAACAGGTTCTGTCAATCTGGAAACTCATCTCCCTCAATTCTAGAAAAAAATCCATTTATTATTTCTTAGCTAATTTCTACCCTTCCCCATCTCTTCTTTTTCCACTGCTAGAAATTCTATTAATTGGATATTAGACATCCTAAATTGATACTCCAAATGTCTCATTCTTTATCTATTTTCCCTGTAAAATCCTTTTTTTCTGCTTTATTTTTATTTCCAAGAACTCCTTTTTGTTCTCTGGTTATTGTTTTTTCATAATTTCCTAGTCTCATTTCAGTAAGGCAATATCTTAGCATTCAAAGTATATTAATGATAGCTTTTAAAAAAGTTTTTTTCTGTTTCTCCCATTGTTTTTTACCTTCTGTCTCTCCGTGTGTCACTTCTATCCCTTCCTCTGTTTCTCCTTCTCTACCCGTTGACCGATCCCAATGGGGCAAAGGAATCTCTGAGGAATTGCACCAGTGAGAGTGCTGTATATTTTATTCATGTTTCTTTAAAGTGAAGAAATACAAGAGAGTTTTTACAATAATAAATCTGTGAATTAAAGCCACACGGTCCTCACTTTTATGTATTTAACTGTCATATAGCTTACACCTTCACACGCAGACATTATGAACTCTCTCTTTTTTTTTAGATGGAATATCACTCTGTCGCCCAGGCTGGAGTGCAGTGGCATGATCTCAGCTCACTGCAACTTCCGCCTCCTAGGTTCAAGCGATTCTGCTGCCTCACCCTCGTGAGTAGCTGGGATTACAGGTGTGCACCACTACGCCGACTAATTTTTGTATTTTTAGTAGAGACGGGGTTTCACCATATTACCCAGGCTGGTCTTGAACTCCTGACCTCAAGTCATCTACCCGTCTAGGCCTCCCAAAGTGTTGGGATTACAGGCATGAGCCACTGCACCCAGCCGTATGGCATTTCTTGAAAGAAATTTTTGAGCTTTTGTATGGTGGTGCTGCCTAGCTGCCAGCAGCTTGGCTCTGGCCATGGCTCTCACTGCCTCTGACGCTTTACCAGGCTTATTAATGCAATTATTTCTATTATATTAGCACATTTTCCTTCACTATGTTATCCAACTAAGTAGAAAACAAAAATAAAAGCACTGATACTAGTGATGGGAAGGATTAGGTCTCAGGAACTTAGTTCAATAGAGACAAGAAGACACAAGTGGGAGATCAGCTTGAAGCGGAAGTGAAGCTTGGCTGGCCGGTTATGTTCATCTGTGAAGGAAAATCAGAGGACAGGCACAAAATCAGAGACCAGCACAATGAGAGGACAAGCACAAAAGGACATAATCAAACATTAAGTTTAAAAGTAAGTTGTAATTGGAGCTTTTAGAGTATTGCTTTTAGTTCTTAGAGAATAGAATCCCTTTACAATATATAAATATATTGCCTAGCTTAGCACATTTGAAACGTCTCAGTGTATGTGTATGTGTGTGCACGCGCGTGCATGTGTGTGTTTAACTTAATGAATTTGGAGGGAGAACGTGGATAAGATGAGGAGATTGTCAGTCTCCTCGATGCCTGAAAGTGAGCCAGGATCAGCGTCCCACCCAGGCAGCCGCTGAGCCCATGAAAACCTGCAGAGAAAGCAGCTGCCAGTCCAGAACGTTCTTAGGATCCTCTGACACCTGTGTACGAGGCTCTGTTCCCTCCTCTTGCTTCCTGGACCATCTGCTTCCCCAGAGGACGGCTCCCGGGGCTGCTTCAGGAGGAGGCTTCTCTTGCTGAAACCACTGTCCGTAGAGGCCCCACTCCTGTGCCCAGCCCAGTGCTCCTGTTCTCCGTGTCTGCCGGGAAATCGGGGAGTGGTGAGGTCTGACCAGAATAGGCAGGCTGGCTTTTCCTACCCTGCCAGGTTCCCATGCCCTCCCTCCCCTATTTCCTCCTCTCCCAGACTTCTTGAGGCTCAGGAGAAGACAGAGGGCTCACATGCCTCTGGTGAAGTCAACGAAACGCTCACAATATTCCAACTGTGTTCCCCAAGTCACTGGAGCCCAAAGCCTGGGAGCCATCCTCACTGCCCTGGAGCCTCAGGTCTGACCTCCAGCCACCTTCTGTCAATTTTCCATCCAAAGCCCCCAAGAAATCCCCACAACTGCTGCCCCGGCTCAGGCCATCACTGCAGCTCCTCTGGGCTATTTCAACAGCCCCTGCTACTCTTTCAGCCCCAACCTGCCTCTGTCTGCTTCATTCTTCCCACTGTTGCCTAAGGGATCTTTCCAGAATGCCACTCCATCACCTCAGATCCTGATTAAAACACTTCAGGGCTTCTTCCTGTCAAGGTCCAGCCTCAGCATTCACAGCCCACCTGCCTCTCCAGCCTTACTTTCTCCTCTCCTCCCCACCAAGCCCAAGCAGAAGCCACAGGAGGCCGCTCTGCAGGTTTACCCACAGTGTCTGGAACACCCCTGCCCCTTAGGGGCGTTCACACCCTTACATGTCAGATCCGCCTTGCTGCTATTCCTCTTCGCTTTCCCCAAGAGGAATTAATTCCTCCTTCCTATGCTTCCACAACACTCAAAAAATATCTGTTCTCCCTTTAACACACCCTGTGCTGTAGTGATCACTCTCATCTCTCTTCTTTATGGTAATCTTCCCAGTGAAACACCCCCGTCCATCTCCAGCTGCAGGGCCTGGTCCAGCCTTGGCACAGAGTTGGCACTTAGTAAATATCTTTTGAATTTGTTTAATTAGACTGAAAATATGTAGCCCCTAACTATGTATGGTTTACTATAAAAACAAGTGGTTACATAACTGTTTACATAGAATCAAAATATGCTTCTAAATACCAAAACAAAGAGTTTGCTTTTTAAATAATGTATCAGCAGCAAGGTGGGGTGCCACTCAATCAATGCATGTTCACTAAACATATGCAGAACTGGAGGGACTCTCCCATAAACAGAAGACGCCCTCTATGGGACCATCTGCTAATCCACATTCCAGACACCTCAACCTTCTCAATCAGAACAGGAGACAAAATTATTGCCATGGGAAGGAGAGGGCATTAGCATCCCTTCTCTGTGTAATCCAGAAATTATGGGTAGTAGCAATAGCTATGGTTTCCTAAGTATCTTCTGCATGCCAGACACATCTAATAATTCATATGTAATCTAATATCTAATAATGACCACACACTGTGGTTACAGTAGCCTCTCCTCACTTCTTTTTTTTTTTTTTTTTTTTTTTTTTTTGAGATGGAGTCTCGCTCTGTCACCCAGGCTGGAGTGCAGTGGAATGATCTTGGCTCACTGCAACTTCTACCTCCTGGGTTCAAGCAATTCTCATGCCTCAGCCTCCTAAGTAGCTGGGATTACAGGCGCCTGCCATCACGCCCAACTAATTTTTGCATTTTTAGACTTTCCATGCAAGTCAAGGCTGTCTCCCTCCCCCTTTCAGCCCTCCTATGCTCCCCATCTCTACCCCGTCAACCCCTCACTGCCAACAACTGAGGCTAATTTCATCACTCTTCTCCAGCCATTTTGCTTATCGTTGACTCCCAGCTCCTAAGAATTTCTTGGCTTCCTCCAGGTGCCCTGTTTTTAAATTAACCTGAGATTATGGCAGACCACAAGGGCTGCATCACACCAAGTTCTTCCTGTTCTCCCCAAGATCTGCCAGAGATTTCCTCTACCACCAGGTGGGGTTCAAACTAGGGTGCTCTCACTGATGAGCCAAGACTCTTAGGTATGAGGATCAAAAACCCAATTCAAGCCAACCTGAGTGGGAAAAGAGAAAAATCCCTGGTCCTAAAACTGAGCAGTCTGGGCTATAAGGACTCTGGGCAAGGCTGAAATGTCCAACACCATCATCGAGTGTTTGCTTCTTTCTCCAGACCCAGCCCTTGCTTACCTTATGCGGCTATCTTGATTCTCATAAAAGGCTCACAAACATAATAAGAAATAGGACCATGGGAGCCTCTGGGCCATGTCTTCACAGCTCAGGATCCAAAAGGAAGGCAGGCTCTTCTAGACTTCATGAGCCAGATCTTGTGGGAGGATTGTGATTGGCTCTGCTCGGGTCACCTGCCCACATCTGAACCAATCACTACAAATTGGGGTTGGGGGTATAAACAACTGGAATTGGACCAGTCTAGGTTGGATGTCATCCCTGAGGCTTCCGTGCTTAATGCCCCCAGGGGAACTGCATGAGGTTGGACTGTGCTTCCCCCAGTGAAAGCTTGTTGGCATACAAAACATGCCCCTATGGTCATGCATGCAATGGACAACTCATGAGCACCTTCTCAGAGTAAGGCACAGTACCAGGCTTAGTGGCAGAAAACAATGATGAGTCAGACTCATCCTGGCCAAAAGGGGCTTAGACTCAGCAGGAAATTTAGACATGAACACTGATGTCTATAGTAGGATGCAGTGGGCCCTAAAAACACAGTTTCAAAGGACATGGGAGGGAGGGATCAGAGGGGTCAACCTTGGGACCCAGTGCAGAAGAATAATCCAGTGAACTTGATGATTACATGGCTGGTGGTTTAGGGTGAGGAACCAGCCCTGTCTACCCAAGCTGGCTGGATAGATGCATGGACATGACTTTCCAAGGTTCTTCCAGGCATCCATGATGCTGTTTGCTCTCAAGTTCAACCTCCCATCCTCCCATTCACATCCGGCCCATGACAGGGCCCTGATGCTTCCCTTCATAGGTGGTCCATCCAGTGCCACCTACTTCCTGCCTCCATCATGACAGACATTTCTGCGAATACTACCAATGCCTGAGCCCCACAAGGGACATGGGTCTTGATGCTCCTCGTGTCTAATTTGGACCTAGGCTTTATTCTCAGGGCCTCCTAACCAAATGCTGCAGCCTTTCAGCCCTGTCCTCCTAACTGTCCTCTGCCAGCCGACAGGCACTTTGTCTGCAATCCCAGAGGTTCAGTGTCTTGGGACAGCCTCCTTCTCATCCCACCACACCCCTACCTGTGACCCAAGCAGGAAAGTGGCGCGGCTACTAGAAATCTCTATTTTAAGTTGAGATGGGGTTTCACCATGTTGGTCAAGCTGGTCTTGAACTCCAGACCTCGGGTGATCCACCTGCCTCGGCCTCCCAAAGTGCTGGGATTACAGGCATGAGCCACCATGTCCCTTGGAGGCAGGGATGTATCTGGTTAGGAGGAAAATCTCAGCCAGCTAGACTGGCCTCTGGGGTTCAGCCAGTTCATAATTTCCGTTTACGCAGTACATGTGTTTTATGACTCTGCTTTGTTGAAAATCAATTGGCCATAGGTGTATGGGTTTATGTCTGGCTTATTCTGGTTTAGTTCTGTTCCACTGGTCTATATGTTTATCCTTTTACCAGTGCCGCGGTGCTATAATGACCACAAGGTTGGAGTACATTTTAAAACGGAGAAGTGTGAATCCTCCATCTCTATTCTGCTGTGTTAATATTATTTTAGTAAATTAATACAGTTTTTATTGCAGGAGTGTCTCTGTGATTGAGGAGTTCACCCTTGCCATCCCAGGAGACAACTTGTTATAGAGCAAGGATCCTTGGGGGAGGAACCTGGAGACCAGGGTTCCAGTTCTGGCTTTACTGCTAACTCCCTAGGTGTCTTTTGCAAACCACCTCTTCTTTTTTTTTGAGACAGAGTCTCACTCTGTCGCCCAGGCTGGAGTACAGTGGTATGATCTCGGCTCACTGCAACCTCCGCCTCATGGGTTCGAGTGATTCTCCTGCCTCAGTCTCCGGAGTAGCTGGCATTACAGGTGCCCGCCACCACACCCAGTTGACTTTTGTATTTTTAGTAGAGACGGGGTTCCACTATGTTGGCCAGGCGGGTCTTGAACCCCTGACCTCAGGTGATCCCCCCACCTCAGCCTCCCAAAATGCTAGGATTACAGATGTGAGCCACCACGCCCAGCCACGTCTTCCCTTTAGGTCTCGCTTTACTCTTCTGCAAAATGGAGCCCAGAGAGTTTCAAATTCCATTTCTGACTTGGAGTGAGACCTGAGACTTTTTAGTAAGGTCACCTTGAAACTTGGGATGCCCAGATGGAGGGCCCAGGTACCAGTAACATGGCTGTAGAGAGCTCCCCTCCCACTCCCACTGTCCCCACCTCTGTAGCTGCCCAGCTCTGCCCACTCCCTCCTGGGCCATTAACAAAAGTATTGTTTTAGCAAGAACTAAATTGGCAGAGAGAAGAGAAGTCTGGGCCAAGGAGAAATTTAGAGATTGGGTCACCTTTAGTGTCTCCTCTGATTGTCATTGAATCATGCTTGCTGTTTTCCAGCACTTGACCAATGAGTCCCAGATATTTTAGAAGGCACACATTCACTTACTCAAAGTACTTGCAGGAAACTGCTGCGTGCTAAGCATTATGTTGGGTACTGTGGGCAGTCTAGAAACAAATGAGCTGTGTGGACCACCCTCTGGTAATCCGCTTCACGCTTGAATAATATCAGGGGGAATCATATTATTTTGAAAGTGCCTACTTTTTTCCCCTTGACTTAGATATGGCTTTCAATATTTTGAATTGCTCCTGCATATTTAAATAGCCTTACAGGAAAACAAAGTTCTGGACACAAAAAGTCAACTCCTCCCATGACTGGATGCCCGCTTCCATACCGAGCAATGTGGTACAGTCTGCGTCACCTGGCTGGGGTAAGGATGCACTCACTGCCACGTTTATTTTCCTAACTTGATGCAATTTCCTAGACATACTTTCCTGCAGGGATATAGTCCAAATTCTAGATTGGGAGCTAGAAAGTCACTATCTCAGTAGTCAGTCTCTACCTGTCCCTGGTCCTCATTTCCACTTTCATCACCTGATATATCATTTAGTAACGTTAGAGTGCGGAGGTGATGGCAGCTCGCACAGGACGGGGACTGGGGACAGATTGCATCTGGCAGGGGGACAGAGAGAAGGAGGCATTGAGAATGACTCTGAGATTTCCAGCCTGCAGCCCTGTTTGGTTGATCCTATTCAGTGGGTTCGGAAGTACCAAGGGGAGCAGGTTTGGGGTGAAGAGTGGGGCCCCACTTTGCTCAATGATGCCTGTGGACTTGTGCAACACTGCAGTCTTGAGGAATATCATGGATTCAGTTCTAGGCAAATTATGTTTGAGGCATCTTTGTGGCATCCAAATGACATCGGAAAGGAGGTGAATGGAGCACACAGGAGAGCGCAGGGCTGGAGACACGTGGATGGTGGTAGAAGCAGCAGGTCAGGATGAGCTTGCAAAGGAAGAAAGTCGAGAATGGGAAGAGAACCCGGACCTGAGCCCGGAGGAGCACCAGCTTTCAAGTACTGGAGAAAAGGCTTCCTGCAAAGAACAACTGGCCTGTGTGGTAAGGAAAACAAGGAGCAGGAGGACGCACAGAAGCAGAGGAAGAGAATGTCCCAAGCAGCGGAGGGAAGGGACAGTGTCCAATACTGCCAAGAAGACAAGATGAGGAGAGAAAATGTCTACGGGATTTAGAGACACTGAGGTCACCAGTGGCCTGAGTAAGAACTGTGTCTGCAGCGTGATGGGGGAGGCAAGGCTAGGGGAGCAAGTAAGGAGATGGGGAGAGAAAGCTGGGGCAAGTCGTTTGGGAGGTCTGGCTTCCACAATCTATTCCCAGTCCTTCCCTGTCTTGGCAGACACTGTGGAACTTTAAGGAAATCTCTTCACTCTTCTGCATCCCAGTTATTCAACAAAGAATGGTGGGGAGGGGGCTGTGCGCTATCCCAAGCGCACTGATTATCAATTGCAAACCCAAATCAGCGTACACAATCTGAAAACAAAAACTGGACATGCAGAGGAACAGCGGATCAAATGAGGGCTGGTGGGGCTGTTTCTCCAGGGCTTCCCTGTCTCTGAGTTGAGAGGAGGCACAGGGCACTTCAGCCTGGGGGACGGAAGGCACTGGAGCATCTCCAGGGTCCGGGGAAGTGAGCCTGCCTAAGAAGATTCTGGAGGAAGCAGAGAGTCAGAGGCGGCAGAGGGACAGAGACAGACCTGTCCCAAGAAGCCTCAGAGAGCAACCAGTGCAGGAGGAGGGGAACCTGGTCTCGCTGAAGTGTTCGTTTCAGAAACTGCAGGGAGGTGAGGGAAGCCAGGCAGGACTGCAGGCCTGCACCCAGCAGGCCTGGGGCGAAGCAGAGCTGGGCTGGGAAGGGCCGAGGAAGGCAGAGAGGAGGGGCACAGGAGTAATGACCGGAGCTGGCAGCCAGCCTCGGCTGGAGAGTGACCCCTGGGACCCAGGGTAGAAAAGAGCCGAGGGCGCCTTTAATGGCCACAGGTGTTGGAGTAGAAAATTTTCCATGAAAAGGGGGCTGTTCCACATGATTAAAGTAACCACTTGGGCCCTCTTGGCAAGCTCAGGCCCTGTTTTTTTCACACTTTGCAGCATGTCCTTCAACTCTTTTCGGAGGCTGTTCAGAGGATAAACTGCAAAAGAAATTCCTTTTCTTTTCATGCACGCTAATAAGGAAGGAGTGGGAGAGCGTGGCCCCCCAGGGCAGGCTGGGGAGGTAGGGTTTTGCTGAAGACGGTGAGGGAGGCTGGGGAAAGCCAGATGAGGTGGGGCTGGCAGAGGTGAGGTGGGGGTTGATTCAGAGACATCGCTGGGTAGCGGCTGCTCTGCAGGAAAAGTGAGCCCAGAACCAACCAAGCATGGGTGCCCTCGCACTGGGCACCCCCTGGCGTCATGTCCAGGCCTAGAGAGTCCTGGAGTGAGTTGAACAGAGCAACGTGTTATGAGAAAGCTGGGGGATTTCCTCGGTAATAAGCAGATAAATCTCTATCCCTTGGGGTGGTTTGGAGGCTGTGCCAAGAGACAACCTGAGAGCAGGTGACACTCATTCCTTACTCTCTGGACAGCTGTGGGATGCCCCGCTGTTCTAGCTTTCCTTCTGCAGAATGGCGCGCTGTGAGGAGGCAACAGAGCATGCCTGGAAAGCACGTGGCATGTGGGCCACAGCAAATGATGACATTGATCATTACTGGTAATGATGACATTGATGATAATGATGACATTGATAATCATTGATAATGATGATGACATTGACAATCATTGACAATGATAATGACATTAATAGTCATTGACAATTATGATGACATTGATAATCGATGATGATGATGATATGATGATCTATCAGTCCTTATTCAGCCCAAGATCTCCAGGGTTTCCAACCATTCTCATCCCCCTTGAAACTCTAATTGCACTAAGTGTTTTTTTTATTTTTTAGTCCTGGACCAGGCATTAGACACAAGTTCCTTCCTCTTCACCATGGAAGGTCCATTTAGTCACCAGAAATGCATGTGGAAAGGTTCCCAATTCCACGGAGGCTAAGTAGGCAGAGCACTTTTTGGCTGTTGCATTTGTGACATCATGGTTACTGAGCAAAAGCTGACCATAGCCTTTTTCTGCTCACCTAGCTTCCTACAGATTACCCTCTGCCCTGCTGGCTGCCCCTCACCACCATGGGAAGACCCTGGGGCCGTTGCCCAGGCTGCCCACTGACCTGGGTCTCTCTCCCCTCACCCCACCACTCCTTCCCAGGGTTTTCCAGGCCCTGCTAGCGGACGTGAGGGTGCCTGGCCTCGACCTAGGTGGTCTTCCCTGACTGTCTCAGGTCTCACCGACCCTCTATCCCTTTGAACAAGACTCTCCAGGCAGCTGTTTTACAAGGTGTGCTCTACGGATCACCTACATCAGACTCCCTTGAAGACTTTGTTGGAAAAGTGGATTCCTGAGCTCCTCTCCTGTTCTGAATTAGAATCCCTGGGAAGGGTCAAGGAATCTGCAATTGCAGTAATTTCTACATGGGCACTTTAATAGATACCCTGTTGTCTGTCTGTACCACATAGTCAGATAGTAGTCATCTGCCATCCCTCATCATCTGTGCCAGTAGGCAGGATTGAGAACATCACAGCACCTGTTGTAGTGTTTTGTGCACAGCAGGGCTCAATAAGTGATTGCTATTCGCTAGCTAGCTATATAGATAGATATGGATGGATGGATGGATGGATGGATGGATGGATGGATGGATGATTGATGGATGGAAGGATGGATAGATGGATGAATAGGTGGATGGATAGATGATGGATGATGGATGGATGGATAAACTGATGGATGGATAGATAGATGGATGGAGGACGATGGATGGATGGATGGATATCTGGATGGATGGATGGATGGATGGATAAATTGGATGGATAGATGGATGAGTGGGTGAATAAATGAATGGATAGATAGATGATTGATAGATAGATAGATAGATAGATAGATAGATAGATAGATAGATAGAACCTTGTTACAGTAGTGTTGGTCACAGTTCTTCTGATATCTTGTGGAACTGAAGTGTGAGATGTAGAGAAAGTTCTCATGAGAGACCAGGGCCTGGATCTACAAAGCTGCTGGAAGCAAAGGTAGGAGAAATGTTACACTTGGACTCTGTAACTTAGCAGGATGGGGTTCAAGTCTGCCTCCTACTGGCTGTGTGTGTTTTAGCGAATTGCTTAATTTCTCTAAGCCCAATTCTCCCCATGTATAAAAAAGGATCTTAACAGTACCTACCTCTTAGGAAGGCAGTGAGGGTTGGTTTAGATGATATATGAAGCGAAAGTATCTGCAAGCTGGGCTATGAGTTTCTGGTCTCAGCTCCTCTGTGCATCTCTGCCTCCTCCTTCTGTCTTGCGATCTGATTCCCACTGCTCCTCACTGCAGACAGCCCATAGCTGGTTGCATCTTGTCAGAGGCAAACACCCAGAGATGGAGATGTGTCTCTCTCAGTTCTAAGCCCAAGTCTCCAGAGAAGAGAATCTGGAGGGCCTTCCGGGGTCCATCCCAACCCAAATCATCTGTAGTCAAGAACAAGGAGCCAGTGGTGCAGACACAGATGCAGTTCCATCGCTTGGGCCCCACCAAGGAGAGAAGCAGTTCTCAGAGGCTAGAGTGGAGGATGGAGACAGGCTGGGCCCACACCCCCATGTACCTGCTGTGACTCCCCAGAAATAAACATTTCCCCAGTCCTGACTCCACGGCTGCCTTTTATCTCCCAGAGCCTCCCCTCCACATCTTACTGGGATTGAGGTCCCCGGCCTCAGAGCTGCCTGCCTCTACCCCTGGATCTGTGTCCTGTTCCCACAAGCCCACCCCTCACCAATATTATCCTTCCAAAGTTACTAGTGTGCCCCCAACTGGGGACGATCCCAAAATTGAAGTCCTACCCTCAAGGTGCTTACAATCTAGTTGGCAATACCAAACCAACACACAGGAACAGAATGAAGAAGTGTCCGGTGCTAAACCATAATCCAGGGCTCCGGGGTAGTAGGGATGCAGGGAAGGGGGCGTCCCCCGGAGGCTGGTAAGGGAAAGCTTCCCGGGGGAGGGAGATTAGGGAAGGAGCTATGGAAGTTGAGAAGAGCATTCTAGTCGGGCACTGGAGGAACGGAGAAGGCCTGGCTGATAAGCTGCCCTGGTGGGAATGATTGCAGGAAGGAACAGGGGAGACAGCAGGTGCTTCCATCATGGAGGGCCTAGCTGGCTAAGCACAGGCCTTCAGACTGCATGCTGGAGGTCGGGTGAGCCTGGCCTCCCTCCTGCCCCACTGAGGCAAGCTGGCCAGGTCTCCCAGAGGTCCCAGGGATGCTCATTGATTAGCTTGTGAAAGGCCACTTGGCTAGCTGGTTGCCGAGAGACGGCCCCGGAGGCCAGGGCTGGGATTAGTGAGTGGCCCTGTTTGCTCTTCTTGCTGGGTGGAAAGAGGACTTTGGTCCCAGCTTATCAAACTGCCCGGGTTTGAAAGCCCAGGAATGCAGCCTTGGGCAAATGTGCAGGTTCACAGGACACCCATTAATCAAACAGCTCCGTTCCCTCCACCCCTAATAACCTGACCCCCACTTCACACACACACACACTCCTATCGCACTCACGTGGTCTTTCGGAGGTCCCAGAAAAGAGCGGGTCCACCATGCCTCAAGCCAGCTGGCAGCTGCGCAGGCCCAGGTGGAGGCACTTCAGGATAGTGGGCCAGGCCGACTCTGTCTTTCCCTGAGTTTGCCCAGTGGGCCCCAAGAGGCAGCCTGAGGTCCCCTGGGGGCTGCTGGAAGATGGACAGAGACGGCCCCAGCTGCCTCACTGCTCCACACAACTAGCAGTGTTACCCCTCAAGATGGAATGAAAAATATCCCAGGCAGCAACTTCTAGGGAAAACTTTTTGGAGTGAAAAAGGGCATGACTTATGTTTTTATAAGCAGATGGAACTAAGGTTGAAAGTCACAAATCAATCCAGAGGCCAAGCCTTGAGGCTTCGGAGCCAGGGCTCCTGCTTTAAAGGAGAAAGCGGTGCAGGTGGGAGGACTTGAATTGAAGAAAATTGAATCTCATGGGGATAATGTAAAGAATAATCATAAACGTGGGTTCCTGTTACTAAGCACTAGATACCAACTGCCGAGCTCCACAGTGGGGGCAGAGGGAATGTGGGCTTGAAACAGACAGCATGGAGAAGGTTTGGGGTCTTCAGGAGACACTGTGAGTTCTATAGGAGCCGACTGTGCTCTGTGGTTACCAGGCCACTAGTGTCAACCTTGGTGGCAGAGAAGACAGAGATGAGAAGGAGGAAAACAAAGTGCCAAACGTTACCTAGAAGTCTGCTTCCATCCTGAGCACCGCGCTCGAACTTTCTCTACCTTGCAAATGGGGGCCAAAGAGAGGGAGCTGGCTGACCGGGAGGGCTTCGAGCTAGATCCGTAGACATCTGTGCGGACTCTGGAGCTCCATGGCCAGAGGAGAGAGGCCTTGGTCTGCCCAACTCCACCTACAGCTCCCCAGCCCTGTGGCCACTGCCACAGCTCGCACTTAGGCACCACCACCTCTGGCCAGAGCCACTGCAGTCCCCCCTGTCAGACTCTCTGCCCACACCACTGGATAGCCCCTGAAACCCCTTCTCCACCTAAACTTGCACCTAATTCTGCACCTCCTGCTGAAAATACTTCAGAACGCTGCCAACCTCCACCCCCTGCCATGGTCCTCAGGATAAGGCAATGCCCTGATGCCCTGCAGCTGTTCGTAGCCCATATTTTCTTTTTCACTTAATTTTAATTTTAGATTTGGGGATCTACATGCAGGTTTGTTACAAGGGTATATTGGATGATGCTGAGGTTTGGGCTTCTGTGGATCCCATCACCCAGACAGTGAACATAGTAGCATATAGAAAGCTTTTCAGCCCTTGCCCCTCTCACCTTCCCGTTTCTTTTGAAGTCTCCAGTGTCTACTGTTCCTATCTTTATGTCCACTTGTACCCAAGGTTTATCTCACTTACAAGTGAGAGCATGCAGTATTTGGTTCTGTTCCTGCATTAATTGGCTTAGGATAATGGCCTCCAGCTGCATCCCCATGTTGCTGCAAAGGGCGTGATTTCCTTCCTTTTCATGGCTGCATAGTATTCCATGGTGTATATATACCACATTTTCTTTATCCAGTCCACTGCTAATGGGCACCTAAGTTGATTCCATATCTTTGCAATTGTGAATCGTGCTGCAATGAACATACAAGTGCAAGTGTCTTTTTGGTAGAATGATATATTTTCCTTTGGGTGATACCCAGCAGGCTTGCTTGAGACCCACACATTCTGAACCACCTGCAGGTCAGGGCACTGTGCTGCAACCCCAGCCTTTGTGCATCCTGTCCCCTCTGTCTGGAGCACCTTAAGGCCCCCAGCTCTCCAGCTGAGTAACTCCTGCATGTCCTCCTGCAGGCTTGCTGTCCCTCCCCCAGGCTCAGCACACTGACCAAAGCCTGCTGTCTGCCTCCTCCATTAGGCCAACTACTTGTATCAAACCATGTGTCTGTCCCCAGCTCCCAGCACCAGGCCTGGCACCCAATCAGACTTGAACTTTCCCTAACTTGCAAATGGGGGCCAAAGAGAGGGAGCTGGCTGACCAGGGAGGGCTTCAAAGCTAGATGTAGCTGAATGTATGAATGCAGCTGTTTTCACGTATGTGAAAGACTGTCATGTGGAAGAAGGGTTAGTCCTAATCTGTGTAGCTCAAGAGGTGCAATTAGGGCCAGTAAGTGGAAGCGACAGAGAGGCAGAAACCTGGAGAGGCTCCCTCATCCATAGGCCACCCCTGGCAGCAGTGAGCTCCCGGAATGGGTCAGGATGACCCCTTGACAGGAACGCCAGCAGAGGGGGTTCTGTTGGGATGACATGACCTCCACAGCCCTCTGGCACCAGGACTCTCAGGGTCAGCTCAACCTGTGGACGCCCACACATACACACACCAGTCAAGTTGCAGCTGGGGCCCCTCCAGCCTGGGATGAGTCTTGGAAAATCTGTCACCATCCTGGAGAAGCTGCTTCAGGTCTGCAAAAAGGCAAGGGGGTTGGAGTCAGACCTCAGCCTGCAGCCCCTAGGGGAGAGCTGGGCTGTTCTCCACCTGGGCCAGCAGAGCAGTGCTCTGCCCTCACCTCCTCCCTGAGAGCTGGGCCTTGTGTTTCCAGCACAAAGAAGGCCGGGAGCCCAACTGGGGATGGGGATGGCAGGGTGGGGGGGTCTTTGACATCAGAGCCGGCCCAGGTGCAGCAGGGAGGAGAGGTAACCCCAGCTCTGCCAGCGCAGCTCCTTGGCCTCCGCGGGGCCGTCCTCCCTCAGCAGCAAGGTCACTGTTATCTGCTTTGTGGGCGGCTTGCAGGGCCTGGACACTCTCCAAATATGTGGAGGGAGTTTACCCTAACCCAAGACCAAAACGCCTCCCACTCCTGACATTTTCCAAGTGCTGAAAACTCCAGACAAGGACAAGAAAGAAAGGCCCTCGGAAGCACTTCTATAGCCACAAGCTGTCGAAGTTACCTCTGTGTGTGTGTATGTGTGTGTACGCGCGCGTGTGGGCGCATGTGTGTGTCAGGTGTGTGTGTCAGAGCATGTCATTATATATGCATGTATGTGCATGTGTCCATGTGTGTCCCTGTGTATGCATATGTCACTGTATGTCTGTATGCTAATGTGTGTGCCTGTGTGTGTCCATGTGTGTGCATGTGTGTTGAGAAACATGTAGAGATCCTGAGACTCAATTCATAGAGGCGTTTTGTTCAGAACTTCTCTCCAAGGCCAGGAAGACAGGCTAAATGTCTCCAAATCTCAACCTCCAACTGCTTGTCGGATGTGGCTGCCTGAATCCCAACAGCGCCTTTGATATCTTTAAACGTGAGCCACCTCCATCCCCACAGGAGCCACCCCGCTCTTCCCTGTTTCTGTCAAAGCCACTGTCACTCTTCCGCTTTGAGAGCCTAATCCTCCAAGCCACGTGGGAAGAGTGGAACCTTCACATCACAGTCCTGGATCCCAGCTGCCCCAAAACCAGCTGTAAGTTTGCCTCTCTGAGCTTTAGTTTCCTTCGCTGGCGAATCTGAAAACGTTCTGGGTCTGCCTGAGGTACAGCACAGACAAGACGGTTGTGCAAGGCTGACCAAACCCCTGGGAACGTTCTCTCCACGTTTTTATGGTTTCCTTATTATAAATCCACTTTCCCAATGTAGAATTTAAAACAAAACAAGACAAAACAAAAAAAAAGCAAAACACACAAAAAAGCTGTATCCTGGCCTCTGAGGCTGCAGGGCACACAGGCACGGGACTTGGATTGCAGCGGAGGCCACGTGGGGCCAGGGTCTCGCAACCTGGCTCCTGACCAGGCCAGTTCCATAAGGCTCAGAAAGTCGTTCCTGCAAGATCACCCCAGAGCCTGTGTCCCCACCGTTCGGTGAGCCTGGAGCTCACTCACGTCTCTCATAAAGTCATCCCTGTCTTAACTATCAGCTAATGCTGCTTCTGCGGCCTGCAACTAACAGCTGGCCAAGCCCTGAGAATTCACTCTCACGGCAGGCATTTGAGAATAAGAACAATTCAGATTATGAAGGTTAAATGAGATTATGTGCACAGAACATCCAGCGTGCTATTGGCTGTTCCCCACAAACAGGCTCTGGCATCGCCCCTCAAAGGAGAACTAGGCTCCTTGGGAAGCATCTGCCCTTTCCTCCATTGCAGCAAAGCCTGGGCTGTGTGTGTCAGGCTCTCCAACCACTGGGGGCAAGGCCTGGACCTGCCCCATCTCTCCCGCTCTCTGAGCTCGGTGCTGGGGAAGACAGCGGAGATGTGGTGAGTTCAGGAGACCGAACTTTGTGTACCAGGCCCTGGAAAGCAGCCCCAGGGCCTTACTGCCCAACTTTGAGATTCCCCTCTGTGGCCAACGAAGGCCCACCCCGGGTCAGAGGCTAGACAGTCTGGGGACTGTAAAAAAAGAAAAGACAAGATTCAGCATCCAGCACTGAAGAGCCTGGTCTGACTGGGGAGACGTCTCAATTGTGTGGGAAAGAACAAAGTGGGCTGGGCTCACCATCACTGAGGGTGTGAGGGTATGAGATGGTTTTTGCTGGACGAGACCGAGAGGACCTCCCAAAGGAAGTGAGGCAGGGTCTCAGCCTTGAAAGGTATACAGGACTGGGCGGGACAAAGAAGTCTGGGAAGGGGGTTCCAAGAGGAGGAACAGCAGAAGTGCAGAGGCAGGAGAATGATCCGTGCTCAGGCTAATCTGCCAGGATGGAGGTTTATGGGGAAGTAGAGGGCGATCTCTCTCCAGAAAGTTCCAGCTGCAGGCTTGGACCAGTTCCTGAGACCACCGAGGCCTGGATTGAGGAGCCTGGGTTTCAGTCCAGGATGAACATGTGGCTGGGTTTGAACAGAGGTGATACGGACCTCACCTGTTTGACTCCAATATTTTGACTCTGTCATTTTTATCTCATCCCCCCTCCTCCTGCCTCCTGGGGTCCAAATGCCCTGTACCCATTTATGGAAGGTTATCCCACTGTGTTGTTCCTTTCCTCCTCCCGCTCCACTGAAACTGCACTGGCGAGGGACACCGTGTACGCGCTGTTTCCCAGCGCACGGCACTCTTTCCAGGCTTTCTCTCTCTGGACCTGGAGTGTGGAACGCTATACATTTCTCTTCTGTTCTTCGATCCCTCCTGTGGCATTGTCCACATGCTCCTCGTTTCTCCTCCCCCTTCTCTGACCATTCGGCCACCTCGGCCCACAGCAATTTTCTGTCTATGACCTGGGTGGTATCATCCATTCTCACATGCCAGCTGCTGTGGATCTGCTAACACCACCACTCCCACCACCCAGGCCTGTCCTCAGGGCTCAGATGAGCATGCCAGAGTGCCTGCTTAGCACCGCCGCCTGGGTCAGACCACCTCCTAACGAGTGGAACACGATCCAGGCACTCCAGGCACCTTAACTCCAACACTTCCCAGAACAAAGTCATCTTTCCTGATCCTCCAGCACCGTGGTTCTTCCTTAGACACTTTCCCCTCCCTGTGTTAATGGGCAGAGGCAACCAGGCCAGAAACCTGGCATGGCCTTTTCTCCCTCCCTCATCTCCACCCCTACCAATCTCAGATGCCCTCAGATCTACCCCGTCCATCTGTGCCCCTCCTCTCCCACTGCCCCCACCTAGGCCAAGGCCTCAGCTCCCCTCCCCAGTCCCGCACTAGCTCCCACCTGGGCCAAGGCCTTGGCACCCCTCCCCAGCCCTGCACTAGCTCCCACCGGGGTGCCTACCTCCCTTCACCCCACCTGCCCCGGGGCACTCCATTCGTGTGAGCTCCTGACATACAGACCTGACTGTGCCATGCCCCTTCTTGACACCTCTCAGTGAGCCCCCATCACTCACAAAGTAAAGTCCCAGTTCCTCAGTGGAACATATCTGCTCCTCCATGGCATAGCCCCATCCTGAGTCACACTCCGGGGAAACCCATAGCTGCTTGTAGAGCCCTGAGACCCATGATGCTCCCTGCCCTGATGCCTGCAGCTGGGCTGTTCCCTCCACCTGGAATGCCCTTCCCTCCCTCCACTATGGCTGCATAAGTCTCATCTGCCCCTCAAGACAATCTCAGGCAGCATCTCCTCTGGGAAGGTTTCTGGCCCCAGACTGGAGTAGGCATCCATCCTATGGGGGTCGTCAGTGCAACTCATATAAAGACCCATACACTGCACTGCGATGCTGTTACCTGATGACAGCCACACCTTCCCCACTAGCCTGTGGGCTGAAGGACTGGGACTCGGAACTCATTCCTATACAACATTGCATCCCTGTCCCCTAGCTCCATGCCTGGCACATTGCAGGAGCTCAGTACAGTCTGTCCAACAGAACTAAACAAGCTACAGGATGCTTTGGAAGGGATTGGCCCAGGAACAGGGAGGACAGAGTGGAGCCTGGTACAGAAGCCAAGGCATAGGTGATGAACTTCAGTCGTGAGTACTTTCCTTTTTTCTTCTGAAATCAGGAAGAATCCCTGCTGTAGGTGACTCAGCAGGTTGGGGACGGAGAAATT